GTGTGTGTGTGTGTGTGTGTGTGTGTGTGTGTGTGTGTGTGTGTGTTAGGAATGATGCTAAGGTACCACCACACTAAATCTTAGCTCAATATCTGTGAAATTGACAGCATTGTTGTTTTGTTCATTGTAATGTCAGTGGTTGTGGTGGCCATCATCAATTGTGTTGACCTCAAAAGTGAGTTAGTTGTAGATACACATCCTGTGTTTACTTTCTGAAAGTTTCATTAAAATCTTTACAGTGGTTTATGATATATTTAGCTAAAAGAGTTGCAAAATGTTAAATAAAGACTTTCTACAATCTTTTACTGCTTGAAGCATAAGTAGGAGATGATACTTTGCCACACCAATGTTTAGCTCAATATCTTTAAAACTGAGTGAGTTTTTTTGTWGGTAAATACATAAAAGTGAAATGCAAGGATGCTATTCACCACCTCAGGGTTAAAGATAATTTCATGCTGACCAGCTCTGCCTTTCCATTGTCCAGATAATGAAGAAAAGGAAAATATTGGAAATATGAGCGTCCTGTTGGCAGGATGATGGACAGGTCCCTCAGGTCTCATCCTGTCCTCATTCTTTACCAGTCAGTGAGTCAGTGTCTCTGCAACCAAGGACACAGAAGTGTCAGCAATGCGTCCGGGTAACATCATTCATCAGGCCGCATCAGTAATGGGTACCTCTGTGTGACAGTGGTCATCAGGACAAAAAAGCAAAAGGGCCCATAAACATAACATGACAGATGGCTGGGAGGAAAGCTTTGGACAGGTAGGGAGGGATGAAGAGTACAAGTTAAAGTGAGACCGAGGGAGGACGACTGCAGTGAAAGTGAGATTTCAGATGGGATCATTAAGTCTTAGAAAAAGTCTCAACACTCCTGCTGCCCTTGGGTCAAAATGACCCGCAAGGCCTCAGTTAACCCGAGGGCAGAAGAAGGCAATTAAGCATTCTTGTTTTATGAAGGTTTGTGTTCAATGTCATTTGTGCAAGGAAAAGAAAATATTTGATTTTAATTTCATTTACTTTTGGTGTCTTATACTCCACACACACCTTCCCTTCCTCAGCCTGTACATGACAATGTGATGAGGAGCGGAAAGAAGAGTTTTATCTCTTTAATAGAGGAATGATATGAAATGATGTATCATTTTACATTTTCATCCACTAATGAAATATTAATGTACACATATCTTCATATTGACCACAAAGCCACTGTCTCCACTGTGAGTGTATTTGTGACGTTGATATTGTTGTTATAAATGCAATATTATCAGCTCAGTTCCATCATGTCAGTGTTAAAGTCCTGTTGGAGTTCTCTGGCAAATTTGTTTAATTTACAGTTTTAGGTGTGTCTTTAAAATATTTTCTTTTTTAAGAAATAAAAAGTCTTATTTAACTGATAGATTTAAGTTTGTTAATGTTAATAATGAATCTTCTTCTTACACTAGAGTTAGTCATGGAGTTCCTCAGGGTTCAGTGCTTGGACCAGTCCTCTTTACTTTATATATGATTCCATTAGGTAAAGTTATTAAACAGCATGGGATAAATTTCCATTGTCATGCTGATGATACTCAGTTATATTTATCCATGAAACCTGATGGATCCAACCAGTTACTTAAACTACAAGCATGTCTTACAGACATAAAAACATGGATGACTCTTAACTTTCTGCTTCTAAACTCAGATAAGACAGAGGTTATGGTTTTTGGTCCTGAACATCTTAGGGATCAACTTTGCAGTCGTTCACCTTCTCTGGATGGCATTAATCTGACCTCCAGTTCTAATGTAAAGAAAATTGGTGTTATTTTTGATCAGGACATGTCTTTTAACCYCCACATTAAAAATGTTACCAGGACCGCCTTCTTCCAACT